GGGGTAAGCGCTGATTTTATCACCGAAAATATCTTGATACGCCTCTTTGCTTTTCTTGATACGAAAAAATAAATTTTCGATCAGCTTGAATTTAATCATCTTGTTTGTCATTTATCAAAACAAAAAAATATTCCAATAATAATAAAGAGGTTTGAACTCATGTCCAACATGGCCAAGAACATATGATGTTGCATTCATCTATGTTGTTCTCTTGCGTAGATAGTGACAGACAAGTTTTTTGTGATTGGATAACCAAAGTCAGAGATAGAAAGCTTGGTCAGTGGAACTATTAACATTGAAGTTTTGTTAGAATTCTTGATTCTTGACGCAATGTATCCCCTCAAGAGTATAATAGACTTCACTTATCCGAACATGAAGAATATGAAAAATTAATCTTTTTTATGACAAACACTACTAGCACCAACTCTCAAAGTTTTTAAACAGTATATGAATTTTTCATATCCCTTATTTCCGTGATGAAAAGGAGTACTTGAATTTGATTATTCATAACAAATAACTGCATATGTAGTTGTTGATAACGACTGGATAACAATTGAGTATTAAAAATCGTGTTAGAAATATATTTTCTTTAATCTTAAAAATATTACATTGAAAAATATTTTTTGAACCGAGGAAGATTGTGTTCGATCCCGTGCGTGGCACGGGTCAGAGTACTAGTTGTCATATCTTATGATTCCCTCCCCATCCATCTTGCATTTGTTTTATTGTTTTTCATGTTCCATGTTTTTTATTGTTTCATCTTGCATGTGCATAAGCTCATCATTTTTATATCACTAGTATTTCTACTCGTGCCACGCACGGGGTCGAACGAAAATTTAGTGATTCAGGTATTTTTTAATGCAATATTTTTTCTGAAATAAAGAAAATATATTTCTTAAATGATTTTTAATATTATAGACAAAGAAGCCAGAGTAGAATAAATACTATTCGAGGAATTGAATGTGTACTCAACAAACTTTGTTTCAATACAAAAATGTATATTTAAATATTTGATTAGTTTAAATCAGTATATTTTATATTACAAAAATGTTATGGACTTTTGAATTCAAAGAAAATCAAGTAAATGAATGAAAATAAAAATATAACTTTTCAAAAAAAATTAAGTGAATTATTCATTATAAAAGACAATAACACTGATATAAAAATTTTTAAGCAAAATATGAAATGTTTTTAAAATTATTAAATTATTCTTTTTATGAGAATTTCTTTAGCAAAAATATGGTTGTAATTCAACAAAAAATGTGTACATAACTGAATTGATTTTATCTTAAAAATGACTAATATAATATAACTAAAAATAACTTTAAAAAAGAAATTAAGTAAATTTTCAAAATAGTTCTTTCTACTAAGGTATTTTTCCAAACCAGTTCTCGATAAGCAATAATTATGTACGTAGTCTTTTATAATTTAATATTTTCCAAAATGGTCTTTTCTTATCACATTAGTGATTTTAACTCTAAATGAAGTTGTATAGATTTGGATACATTTTATTTTTCTATATCAATATTTGTTTAGATTCTTCAAGTTCATGGATTATTCTAACATCAATAATTGATTATAAATAGACTGACATAATTAAAATTATAAAACACAAAAAATATCATGACTTCAAACAAAAGAGTTTAAAAACACATGGATAAAATAGATTCAATTAGTAAAAAATAAAATAAATTTATTTTCAAAAATAAAAATCTATATTCACATTTGATATGTTTCACAAAAAAACTTATTTTCTTAAAAATTACAAAAATCACATTTATTTACAACTGAACTTTACTGGAATTGTCAAACGATTTTATTTTAAAAATGTAAAAGATGAATTATAATTACAATTTTTTCACATAAAAATTTATAGCTCAATTCAGATTGTATGACTTAGATATCCATATCCGTTATATATAAAAATTCTTTAATATAAAATTTGAGAGTTTGGACTCTGAGTAGCTGACATTTGGCAATACAAGAATTTGACATGTGGCAATATAATTGACATGCTATGTGGCATAATAAGGTGAGATGAATTTAGAGAATTCCTTCCAAATTTACTTCATCTTTGATTGGTATGTTTTTATACCATTTACGAAAATTAAATTTTTTTTCCTTCTTAAATCGAAGTCTATTTAAAAGGGAAAAATTCCGCCCTGCCATCTCCTTAAATCCAAAGCTATTACAACGTATTTTGGGTCAAAATAGGTGATTACCAATTTAAGTTGCAAGGTATTACATACTCCATATACTTTTTTGCTTTATTTTAGTCCGTATATCTTAAAATATACTCCGGAGTAAGTCCAAAAAATTTTGAATTTTGAAAAAGCTGCAAGAATGTCATAGAGTCAATGAATTTTACATTCCGAGTAATTTCTAATTTTCCATTTCTCCATTTGTACAATGTGAATGAAATAATTGAATATAGACAAATAATGGGTCAATCGTTCATTTATAAAATGAAAACGGATAAACAATGAGTCAATCATAGAGTAGAAACTATTTTTTCAAAAAGAAAATAGAGTAGGAAATAGATAAAGTGTAAATTGTTTTAGACAAATAAAAAAGAGTTACTCTAAGTAGTCCTTTTAGAAGAAGGAGAATATAACCGGATCAATCTTATGCAAAAAATGAAAAAAAAACTTACTTCAAACGAATCGTATAGACGTATACTTTTGAATAAATTTTTAAGGGTTCAAATTATTTTAAAATACTAACACTAAAAGATCGTGTTTAATACCATTAATTATCTTAAAAATATTATAAATTATCACTTTAAAAATTTGAACTAATCAAACTAAATTATAGCAGTGTGAGTTACCATTTTGACACAAGTGGGCTCTAATAATTTACAATCTATAAAAGGATATAAAGAAATAGAATAAGAATACATTTACTCATTGACTTCACACTGATTTTTTGATTTAGAAGGTTATAATACTTTATCTTTTATATATAAATTTTTTACTTCAATCTTTGAAAGAATGACATGTGTTAACATTTCTATACGTATTTTAATACTTCGAATATATTGAGTTTATGATTTTATTTTATTGCTATACAATTTATGGTTTATATTCCGTATATTATTTATGATTTAAATTGAAGAATATAACATTTATAGTATACTCATCACCTCTTACTTTTACACATCACATCCAAAGAGATTTTTGGAAGGTCAACATCAAAATACTCTTCCCTTAAATCTTTTAAAAGTCAAAACCATAAAGGTTTTGTGGGACGAGTGAGTTTATTTTATCATTATTTTAACTTTTAAGGTTGATATTTTATTTTGTTCGATTTTTTAAGAATGTTGTAGCAAAGAAAACTAAAAAAATCGAAACAAAAAGTTCGTTCCACCCTGTTACGTAGTTGACAAAAGTAAAGACTGCCAAGGGGGTAACAAGACCCGAGTTTGATTACAGACAACTGCGATGGAAGACAATTATGTGAAGCATGGGGCCTCTATAAGTACCGGATTCAAAGTTTAATTTATTCTCTCAATAACTGTTTGACCGGGTCTTAGAGACCCTCAGGGATGAGGCTTATCCTTTTTTTAAAACATAAATGATTATGAATAGAACTTCTCCCAAGTTTGAACTCCAAAGGAAGCAGATGCATTGACTCATTGTGCGTCATTAGGTTGAGAAAAATAAGAGCAATTGTTCTATATCCTTAATATCTAAATTTGGTTCTTATCCTTAAAAAAACTTTGCATGTCAAAAAATTAAAAAAATAAATTTACCTAAAATAATCCCACCTTTCATTTATTTTCCAAAAATATGTATTTTCAAAAAATCCTGTTAAGTGGCCGTTAATTTTTTAACGGCGGTCCAAAACTCGCACACATGCAGAAAGGTGAGATTATTTTCGATGACAGTGAAAAGTGAGATTATTTTTGAAAAAAGTGATGAAAAGATGCGATTATTTAAAATAATTTTCCAAATTAATATAGTGATATCAATTATATATTTAATCATACTACATCGAAAGATCTATAGATTATGTTATTATCTTGAATTATTATTGAAAATTTGTTTTAAAAAATATTTTTAGAATTTAAAGTACCAAATTTTAATTAATTGTACGGAAATGTTTATTAGTGTATGATTTTTTTAAAACAAATACTCTCTTCATCCACAAATTTTCTTCGTTACAGCGTTTGAATAAAATTAGTTTTAATTCACTTGATATGATGATTCGTGTAAAGTTAAAATTTGGTACTTTAAATTCTAAAAATATGTTTAGAATAGGTATGAAATCTCTATTATAGAGCTTTGTTTTATAAGGTTTAAGGAAGGGGACGAGATGAGAGTAGTTTTTTGCTTTGTTCGTAGAATTAGAGGACTCAAGCAATTACAAAGAAAATGGACATTCATCTATAGGAAATATAATCATTTTTTTCTAAAAAATGATTTCCTGACCAAAGAAAATTAGATTTAGATTCTTTAAAAACTATTTTTCTCACAACAAAAAAACTCTAAAAGTCAGAATACAAAAGAACATTGTCTTTAATAAAAAGTTATAGAATATATATAACAAAATTTCGTTCCACCCGTGCATGGCACGGGTCAAAATACTAGTTTGGTTAAATTGTCACTTTAAGATGCCACATGCCAAGTATTTAAGATGACACATGTCAAATTCTTGATATGCCACATGTCAAGTTCTTAAGGATTGAACTCTCAAATTTATACTCCCTCCGTCCATTTATGATCTTCTCATTACGCATTACGAGGCTTGACCGACTCTATTTTTAATTCAATTTAATTGATTATAGGAGTAAAATTTTAAAATAAAATTTATATAGTAATAAACTACATGAAAAGTTCTACAAAACTAGAGGTGACAAGACTATATTATTTTATGAAATGACTAGTAAAATTGAGTAAACAAAGTGAGTAAAGTTTGACCATGTGAATAGTGACTGGGAAGATCTATGGTGTACAGAGGGAGTACTACGTATATAAAAGAAAAGGATTTTTGTATTCGTTCCGAGAAAATATATGTATCTTGACTATAAGTAAACTTCTATTCCTACCATATTTCTATTTCTACTAAAACAAAAACTGAGCAAATACTAAACCGAATCCCAAGAGGATTCGATTTCCTTCCTCTAATATCTATTTGCCCGGGGTGGTCCACATAATTGTTTGCTCGATCAGCTGAGATGCATATCTCCAAAGGTTGTTGTTGCTGCACAGTCATGATGAGGCTTATTATTGCAGCAGTTTTGGGAGTTACTCCCTTCGTCCTATAATGATCTTCCCGGTTCACAAAACGAAGAAAAATCCCAAGTTTTTTCAATCTATTTTATTTAAATATTGGTATAGAAATAAAAAATAAAACATACATATTTAAAAACTACATCAAAAGTTCAACAAAACAAGTGGTGACATGAATATTTTATTTTATCATATAGGCCATGAAAAAACACAAATAAATATAAATTCCCGTGAAGTTGGAATAGTGCTCTGGGAAGATCATTATAGGAGAGAGAGTATTATTTATGCCGTCGTTAAAGATATTCTCGACGTTGAGAAGATCAATAAGAGGACGCCGAGGCCACAGTACTCCGTCACGAGTGCTGCGTCGTCGCCAGAAGCCACCGTGGCCGGAAACCTCTTGACAGTGGACTTCAGCCTCTCCCTCAAGGCCCACAACCCGAACAGGAAAAATACAATTTTCTACAGCAACACAACCCAGGTGACCCTTGACTGTGAGGGGCTCCTCCAGATCATCGCGTCGTCTTCGTTCCCTTTGGTCGGCCCTTCCACGCTCCCTCCCGGGAATGACTCCTCCTCCACCGACACCGTCGTCAATCTCCCCGTGCAAAACTGGCCTCTCCCAGAGGACACAACATCCTGCGGCATGATCTTAACCATGAAGTTTCGCGCTGGGTTTAATCAGGAGGAAGAATGGAAGCGTCCCCGGGTTGAGGTCCGATGCTCCCCTCTCACCTTCAATTTTCAAACCAAGAATTTCACGGGGGACTACGGTACATGTTCTACTTAATTCAAACAATTTCTCTTTTTTACTAATAATCTATTCATCACATTTTATTTTTATCCATCGTATCAATGACAAAATTGATAAGTCAACTACATATATAATGAATGATCTATCATGTTTTCTTTATAATGAAATTCAATCTCTAATTTTTTAAATTGTTTTTTAAACACTAATGACTCTATTACAATATAATATATGTTCATACATTCTGAATTAACCTATTATGGCTCGTAAAGTTACATATGAAACTTAGGTGTGACATATTAGGTGTTAGAAATGGCTATATAAAAATAATTTTCTTTTCTTTTTATTCAGTTCATAAATTGGGTTGCATAAAAAAGCCACATAATTAATGACACATGTCAGCTCTTAGTAATGCCACATGTCAGTTTCTAGCAATGCCACATGTCATCTTTTTAGAGCTTGGAATCTCATTTATATATACTAGTAACTAGTAACTAGTAACTAGTAATTTAACCTGTGCCACGCACGGGGTCGAACAAAATGCTTATTAATTTTTTAAAATATCGTCAATGTAATATTTTTTAAATGAGTATGGAAATATATGTAATGCGTTCTTTAACTCTGTTGACAATAAGATCAAAATAAATAAATAATTTGGCATTTAATAATTGGTTATAAAAATGCTTATATATAAATTCAAAAGTAAACACCTCAAAGTCTTTTTAAAATTCATATTTTGTTTGAAAGCCTTTGGGGAATATAACATTTTGGTGTGGTTGCAAGGATTTTCATTATTATTTAGGACTAATATTTTTAACCCTATCTTAGTTTTCACTCGTGAAAAATGACACAAAGTTAACTAAGAATGAACGTCAACCCAATTAAAAATAATCCAACAAATGATAATATTTGACATTGACTTTTATCCATAGTCATAACAAAACGCAAAGCGTTCATCGTCGTATATCTTCCTCCGGTTTTCATTCATTGTAGATATATATTACTCCCTCTATCCTAAAACTATCTTCCCACTTCTTCATTTTTAATGTCCTAAAATTACCTTCCCACATCCCAAAAAGGGTGTAAAATGGCAATCCTACTCTTACAACATCTACTCCCCAACCTTCCCACTCCGTCGACATTCCTTCTCCCTCTTGTCTTCGTCTCTCTTTCAATTCCCCTCCTCAAAACCTAGATCTAATCTAGGTATCAAAGTTGCAACCATCGTCGTTCTTGAGATTGTCTCATCATCATCAGCTCCCCCTCCACACCTAGAATCTCGGCATCTCAACATCTCCACTCGGGATCTAGGGATTGGGGTTGCAAGATGGACGCCGGTAGGAGTAGTAAGGTCGGTGGTATGTGATTCGAAGTCTAAATAGCTTCACGGAATTGGAGATGATGATGAGCTTCATTAGCCGCTACCTTCAATCAGAAATTGGCCTAGGTATGTTTTTTCTATAGCTCTAGAGTTTTTTTATCAATTATTTTTTTAATCGGAATTCAGTACTTTTTCGATTGGTTATTCAATCTGTTACTCATCAATTGTTTTCTTATTTGGCCACATTTACATGCCGCTTCATTAGCAGTTGTGCTTTTCGATCGGGCCAGACATGTTAATTGTGGGTATGTTAGTCATTTATCACCGGCAAGCAGGCCGCCCGACCACCGTTTACACTGCCCAATTACTGGAAAAGACAGAAAACTTTTATGTTTTCGGGTTTAGATGGAGGGGCATTTTTGGAAGTCAAAGCCATATTAATCAAGAGTGAAAGACCAAAGTAGGACTAAAACATTGAAAAAAATACCAAAATAAGACTTCCATGTTTTTATTCCCGAAATAGTACCTTAAATGCATTTACATTACCAAACATGGTCATGTACATTACTAAAAAGTATAGTAATATGCACATGTACAGTGCCATATTACAACCACATTACCATAGTGCGAAGTCCTATTTTGAGAAAAAAAAACATGAAAGTCCTATTTTGGTACATTTGTCTATGTTTTAGTCCTATTTAGGATGATTTCTAATTAATAAATCCATTAAAAAAGGGTTTTAGTCAATCTGGGAAGTTGGATTTTGGACGGAGGGAGTATTTAAGATCATATGACAACATTTATTTGTCAGAGTTCAACTCCTTTACCAAGATATATTATTTTAAAATCTATTAACTGGATTGTCATCTCGGAATGGAATATCACTAAACTCTTATAAGGATCATCTATTTGAATTAAGTAGCTTTTCAATCTCAATCAAACATAAAGTTTTTAGATCTTCTTGAAAAATAATAAGTTCTACAAAAATAGTTAAAATGGGACTATATCATTAGATTTTAACTCGTATCTCAAGTCTAAAGTTTTGTAAATATATCATACGGAGTACATTTCATATTGATCTTTATATAAATAAAAAAAATACCTTTTTATAGAAAGACCTTGTTTTTGTAATTTCATCAATCAAATAAAGTCTCATATCTACCAAGAGCTCCCATGATTTTTCCCAAACAACTTAAGAACGACTCATGGTATTTGTCACTAATAATGTGACTAACAACTTTCTTAGCTCACTCTGAGATCCTAGCTCAATAGTCTATTTTATATCTTCAATACTCATTGGTTAATAACTCCAATGTTTCACATGCATTGTCGAATGAGTTTTGTTCGTATAATATTATTGGTAACTGTCTTCAAGCTCTGATAGCTTGTACATCCCTGTTAGATGGCTAATAGCATTTTAAGTAGTACAATCTTTCGATTCCTATTGGCACACATTGCAAGTGGCCTATCAATGGTCTTTGTTGCCTCAAAAAGAGAAATAAAATTTTATTTTAATCAATTACATTATATAATTTAGTTAAATCAATTATCATATCCTAAAAGCTAATAAAAATAATATATTTTTACATTTAAATGATAAAGCATCTAAAAGCCTATAAAGTATACATTTTCTTGCAATTAACTAAAATTATAAAATTAAAATAATTACTTACAAAATTATGTATAGTAATCTTTTTTATACTTGAACATTATTATAATTCAACCATCTCTTTTTTTAAAATGACTAATGTAATTTTTAAAATATGTTGTTTGTTTTTTTATTTCATATCAATATTGAAAGAAATATATTCAAAACTAACTTCATTTTAACTTATCATAAACAAACAATCATGTGAAATTTATTTAGAGGAGAAGAAAGTAGTGTATTAAGTAATTGAAAATTTTGTTAGAAATGAAAAAAAAATTCTGAATCATGAAAAATTATTATTATAAAAATGAATATAAATATTTAATGATTAAGTTTATTTCAATATTTCATACCAAAACAGTTTTTCATATTTTATGTCTTAAATTATCTGTCATATTAGGTGTAAAAAGCCACATAAGTAATGCATATATGAACTTTCTAAACATAAAAGTTTAAACACTTTATATAAAGGATTTATTGAATATTTTTATTCTTAATAATTTAATAAAAAGAATTTATTAAAAAAATTTATTTTAAATAATTTTATTTTAGATCAAAAATAAAAGTTTAACCACATGTTAAATAATATTTAATGGAGTCTAGCTCATAAATCAAATGTCACTAATATGTCTCATATTTTGCCACATGTATACTCCATACTGTGCCACGTGTCAAGCTCTTACGCATCAAACTCTCAAATTTATATATAATAAAGGATATAAAGGATAAAGGATATACATACATACATACATATATATATATATATATATATATATATATATATATATATATATATATATATATATATATATATACCCTTTATCCTTTATATCCTTTATATATAAATTTGAGTGCGTTTTTTGAGAATTTACTTTTTTTCACTTGTCCTGTCAACTCTTTTCATTTCTTATTAATAAGGGTCTTTTTGTAGATTTCATTAATTTTCATTCTTAATAAAAATTTCTTCTTCCTTAATACTCTTCTACGTACGGGTTTAGGCTCCGTTCCGTTCAATTTATTTTTTCTGATCTGATATGATTTTTTGTAGTCCTGATCTGCAGACCTGATCTGATTGGATCTGATCATGTCTGATTTGATTGGATATGATTTGATCAGATCTGGTCTGATCTGATTAATTATGATTTGATTTAAAATTCAAATCAATAATTTGATTTGACTTTATAATAATGTTTGAAAAATAATCAATATTTTTTATTTTGATAATTCAATATTATAATCAATATTGTTTATTTTGAAAAATAATCAATATTTTTTATTTTGAAAACTAATCAATATTTTTTATTTTGATTAATTGTAATGATAATTCATATTATAATATAATCAATATTTTTTATTTTATGATTATTTTTTAATAAAATAAAATAAGTTATTTCAAATATTAGAATACTCATTCATATTATAATGTAATAATATTTTTTATTTTATGATTATTTTTTTTTGAAATTAGAATATTAATTTAATATTTTAATAAATTACTTCATATATACATTAGAATAAATATTTAATTTATATATAAATTAAAAAGTAATTAAGTTTAGATAATTAATATATAGAAGAGATAGTATTTTTATTAAAATATCTCATCATTATAAAAGATCAAAACTTTAGAAACTCAAATTACAGGTAGCAATAAAAATGTCTTTTAAAAGTAGAATTAGATTGAAATTGTCAATGTATTTAAAAAATAATTTTTCTGACGTCTAATAATTAAAGATTACTTTCTCAGTTTTCAATTTAACTTGTTTATAAAGTTTATTCTTTTTCATTTTTAATAATAATAATAATAATAGTAATTCTTGATGGGATCTGATCTCATCTGGTCTGATCCGATTAGACCTAATCTGATCTGATTGGATCTGATCTAATCTGATTCGATCTGATCTGATCTGATTTTAATAAGAATAAGAAAAAATAAGAAAAAATAAGGTGAATGGAACGGGGCCTTACTCCTATTGTTCCATCAAAATGTTTCAACTGAATTTATTTCAATATTAAATCAAATTTGTACTAAATGAAAGCAACAACAACAACAACTTAGTTGAATCCCACTACAGTAGGGTCTGGGGAGGGTGTGTGTACGCAGACCTTGCCCCTACTCGGAAGTAGGGAGGTTGTTTCCAAGAGACCCCCGGCTCCAACTGCACAAAAAATATGATAGGGCACAATAAAACACAGATAAAACACCAAGTACAATGGAATGAAAGTCCTGCAAGCAATAGCAAAAGATTCCAACCAAACAAAACACACTACAAAAAATCTCTGAGGCACCGGGGCCCTAATCAGCTACTCTAATCCTAGTTCTCCAAAGCTTTCTATCTAAAGCCATATCCTCAGTCAGGGTGAGAAGTCCTAAATCCTGCCTAATCACCTCCTTCCAATTCTTCCTAGGTCTACCCCTTCCCCTACTTCCCCCGACGACCGTAATCCTCTCGCATCTCCGTACAGGGGCGTCAGCATTCCGCCGTCTCACGTGACCAAACCATCTCAACCTCGCTTCCCGTAGCTTATCTTCCACCAGCGACATGCCTACCTGACATCGGATAACTTCGTTCGAAATCCTATCCAACTTTGTCTTCCCACACATCCATCGTAACATCCGCATCTCTGCCGCATGCAGACGACGCACATGAGTCTTCTTAACCGCCCAACACTCTGCCCCATATAACATAGCATGTCTGTCTATGCCCACATATCAGTAGCCTCCCCTGCCGATTCCCATGCACCTTTCTCCTGCACTCGCCTGAAACTCAGAGATCTTCTCCCCACATAGTCTCCTCCACCGGATTTGTGTGTTGCCGCCCGTAGCTCTCCTATGTTTTACCCACCTAATCATGACATCTATCACCAATAGCTTGTGTTGGGTAGTGATGTTCTCACTCGGAATTACTTTAACATCCTTGCAGAGCACCCGATCGCACCCGTGCAGGAGAAGATAGTCGATCTGTGTCGTCCCCACTCCCCTAACAAATGTAGCCAAATGGTCGTCTCGTTTAGGGAAACAAATGTAGCCAAATGGTCATCTCATCCCCACTCCACTAACAAATGTAGCTAAATGAAAGATGACAACATTGATTTTTGTGATGAAAATTGTTGAAATACTAAAACCATATCAATTATTTTGGTGATGTTTCTTGTTATTGTCACTTACATTATCTAGTAATTTTATGAAAAAGTTTCTTTTTATAACAATATTACATCAGTGCCTTAAAATCTCTCGCTCATTGTAGGGTAAAAAGCTTTGATGTATGCAACCTGATCCGTATATTTAAAACATGAAATGACTTTTTTCAAATGACTCAAGAATAAAAAAGTTCTTTACATTGCAAAAAGCAACTTTTCATATATTGAATTTTATGAAGATTTTATATATGCATGTTTTATTTTTAAATATTTTATACCAATATTCTATTATATTAATCAAATCAAAATAACTCCAATCAAATATTATAAATTATATTCCATAGTCTTTTTAACAGCATAAAGTATACTTTAGTTAGGGGCACATTAGTTTTTATTACAAACAAAAGGATCAAAACAATAAAAGAAAAAATAACAAAAAAATAATTATTGAAGGGTAGACAACAATTCTTAGACTTTATACTTTCGAAGGTGCCGGTGGGTGTTGCGCAGTTGGCAAGGCAAGGAGTGCCAAGGGGGTAAGACCGGAGTTCGATTCCTAGCAACTGCACTGGGAGGCACCTATGCTAAGCATATGACCTCTGCAAATACCAATTGCAGGTTCCACACTTTGCCACCAATCTGTAATCAAAGTCTCATTTATCTCCTTTCAGTGACCGTCCGGCCGGGTCCGAGGGAGCCCTCGGGGATACGGCTCATCTTTTTTTATACTTTCTAAGGTAACTCAACAACTACACAGAAATATACTCACGCTTTATAGTTGGAACTCACATTTCAATTCAAGTTATTCATCACTCAAAAAATGAAGAGAGACTTTAAAATGTTTTCTCATACTCTCTTTAACTTCTTATCATAATTCAATTGTATCATACAATTTATGTTTATTGATAGAGATATTTTCCTTTTAAACTATAATAAATTTGATCATCAATTAAATATATATATTTAAGATAAATTTGATTAAATCATTTTTTCATTAATATGTACTTTGTAGTTTTTATTTTATTGATCATCAAAATTTATTTAGTTTGAATGTAAAAAGTCAAATTAGACCAACATAGAAAAAATATTCTTTGAGTTTTTTGTGCTATTTGCCCCCGAATTTTTCGAAAATTGTATGGATTAAACTCTAACTTTAGAAATTGCATCAATGCCCCCAAATTTTCAAAAATGTTGTACTTATGGTCCCTTTGTGCCAGATTTAGGAGCACATCAATCACACACTCATCAATATACATGTTGGAGGTTGATGAAGATGTATGTCATGGATTAATGAAGAGATTGATTGATTGATAATGAGCTTTACCAACTTTCAAATTTGATTACCGACGACTAAATCAAGAATAATTATATATGGTTTAAAGACGATTAAGATATAAAAAATAATGTTTGGAAAATACATATCGCAGAAAATAATGTCATGGATTGATGAAAGGATTGATTGACTGATAATGAGTTTTTTCTATGTTGGACAATAACGTTAGAGATTAGCGTCAACGTTTTGAAAAGGCAATATAACGATAGTTTTTAGTGTTAACATTTTTAGAAATAGTAATATACACTATTAAAATTTTATCCAAATTGTTAATGCTAATAAAAAAAGCTTTTCTCAAACAAGACAAAAAAAAGGTTTCTCTTCGAATTTATGCTTAAAATTTGTTAAACTAAGAGAAAATTTGAAGTCTTGCTCTTGCCCCTCTCATAGTTGTGCAGTTGTGCTATACCCTACGGGCTACGATTGGTTGCCACGATTCAATTGCAGCGGGAGAGAAGAAACAGGATGGCGCCTGTTCTGCAAAGCTCTCAGCAATGGGTGGAGAAATAGTACACTCCTCTCCTCTCTCGACCTCATAAAACCAGTCCAGACCATTTCTATGTCGTTTCGTACGCTTCTTCAATTCCTTTTTTTGCAATTTATTCTGCTCATCAATGTCGGTCTTGTACGTTCCTCAGCCGGCCGAAGCAGGTGAAGGACGTAGCTCACCAGGACGAGGTTGTTCGAGTCCTCACGAACACTCTCGAGACTGCAAATGTATGCGATTCCAATTTAATGTTGATTGCGCGTGTCAGGCTATTGATATTTGTTCTAGGGTTTATGATACATCAGATTATGTTTATGTGTATGAATTTATGCCCCCTGTTGTGTTTGTATAGTGTCCACATATGCTGTTTTATGGGCCTCCTGGCACTGGGAAAACGACGACAGCCCTTGCGATTGCTCATCAGCTTTTCGGGTACTTTTCTTTCGGCATTGTGTATGTGTGCTTGCAATGAGAATGTGAATGAGTTCATTAGTTGACCTTTATCTGAGAAAAAGCGGTGCACGTGTTAATAGATATGGGTATGCTATTATGTTTGTTAATTATATTTGGTGAAGTCATAGTTCAGTTTTAAAAGGGCATCAGAGGTGCTTTCAAGTCTTAAAGTGATATAAGGCTCAGATGAAATGTTCCTGCGACTAAATTCATTAATTACCTTTACAGACCTTTATCTATGCCACAATCATTTTAATCTCTATATCTAGGAATAAAAAACTGAGATGTTGTAGCTTCCTTGCGTACCCAAAGGAACCTTTATGCGTGACCTTAATTATCCTTCAAATTGAAATTGTTACCTCGTGACCTGCAAAATTTCTCTCCCCAAAAAAATGACACAAAAATTTCTTAAGACTTATGAATATCCTGTTTGCAAATTAGGTCACAATCTTCTTTCTTTTAGAATATAAAAACTTTTCCTCCGCCTGAAATCACAAGTTTGAGCTTTTACTCAAAACTCAGTGCCACCCAGATTTATAATATTAAAGTTTCACGTGCAAGGCCCAAAGCAATCACGCCTGCACGTGAGGGGGCATGTTAGAATATTCTTGGGCCCACAACAAGCTTGATCTTTTGGTTGAGTTGATTCCTTGACTCCTTCAATCTAGTGTTAAAGCTTTTGTTGGCCTCTAGAACTGCCTCCGAAGTGTCTTTCACAAGCAAAAGTATGCGATCTACCTCAAAATTTGAAATTTCTTTCATCATGTATTTTTTCTACGCCTCTACCATGAACTACAAGCATCTATAAGTTATCTTATCTTACATGTGATCTCCAGTATCCTAATCACAAAATTACAAAATACGTTTTGACTTCTTGTGTCAGCATGCAAATATTGATTTTTTGTTGTTTTATATTCTAATTGTTCTTCTTTAAGAGAAGTATATGCTGTATGTTTTTCTCTATTTTTTATTCTTTGGTTTTTGAATACATTTTGAGTGTGTGTTGTTAGTGCATGGGCATGATGGGTGACAGTGTTTACATTGATAGGCCTGAATTGTATAAGTCAAGAGTTTTGGAACTTAATGCTAGTGATGACCGAGGTATAAATGTTGTTCGCACAAAGATAAAGAATTTTGCTGCTGTTGCTGTTGGTTCCGGACACCAAAGGTACCAGCTTCTCTAGTTGATCTCAGTTATGGCTTGCTTGACTCTTACATCTTATTGATCCTATAAAAGATTCTGATAATCTTGACTGCACTTTCTAGTGGTTATCCTTGCCCACCTTTCAAGATCATAATCCTTGATGAAGCAGATTCAATGACTGAAGATGCTCAGGTGAGTCTGCTGTGTAAGCATTTACTCACCTGTAAATTCTAATAGGTTATACAAATTTGTTTTTTCAGAATGCTTTGCGACGCACTATGGAAACATACTCCAAAGTCACAAGATTCTTCTTCATTTGTAATTACATCACCAGGTTAGTTATCTCCAAGTCTTTGAATGTTACGCTTTTCATCCAGTTCTTCCATTATCATATATGCTCTCGCCCCCTCCACTGACTTTTTAGTCCCACATGGACCTCCTCTCTTATCTTGTTTGAAAGTTTTTTGTTTCCTTACCTGATTGCATTGTCGTAACGGGAAAAAGTCAAACATTGAACGGGTACTTTAGTAATGTGGATATGCAGTGAGTCCGTGACTACCTAACAATTGCATTGTGAATATAATCATTTCCCAGGCAAACGTGATGCTGTTTTTTGCATCCATTTTAGGTGCTTTTGCTGATAGATCTGCGTTTTGAATGATTTTTACATTGTAGGATTATTGAGCCACTTGCTTCTAGATGTGCCAAGTTTCGATTCAAACCACTTACTGAAGATATTATGAGCAGCCGAGTACTACACATCTGCAAAGAAGAAGGTCTTAATATGGACGCAGAGGTGTGTACATAAATCACTGATGCTTTTTCGGCATGCTCCTTTTATGGTTAGACAAGTTTCTTGTATATTTTTCAAAAACCTTGCGTCTCTTTTTCTCTAATTGCAGGCCCTTTCAACCCTTGGTTCTATCTCACAGGGTGATTTACGTAGGGGTATTACATGCTTACAAGTAAGATACACCTTTCATTATTATGCTTGAAGTGATCAGGAGAAAAATGCAAATGCATATTTATTTTCTTTTCCCAGATCATATGTGATTTTCATTTGAGAAACTATCAAGACCTCATATCTAATATATCCATTGTAGACAGTTTGAAAGTATACGTGGCATGGACTTCGGGAATTTCTTCAAATATTTTGTAATAAGGTGTAAGATTGCTCTGTATAGATGTTAAGTATAGAATTTTAATCAGGAACATAAATATGTGGCTGATTTCTACTGGGCAATACTGGAATTTTGGAGCGATTATATATGAACTAACCTGTGTTAAATAGCTCCATCTCCTATCAGTAGAAAGCTATGTTTGCCATATTGGATCTAGTCATGCATTCCGTTTTTGTAAACAGTTCACCAATTTTAAACAAAGGTTCATTTCACTTGGTATGAAGGAATCTTTCTTTACTTAAATGGTTACTGTCTTTCAACATTTGATTCTGCTGCAGAGTGCTGCTCGCTTGTTTGGATCATCTATTTCATCCAGGGACTTGATTAATGTCTCTGGGGTAAGTTGATTATACCAGGCTTACCACTTGATTTTCCATGACTATCAACTTAATTTGCAATTATCTTTGTGTGAATTTAATTCTAAAGAAGAGTACGATGTAATATCCCTTGGGCCTTGTCTTTTCTATTTATTGTACAATTCTTTTTAGCTGAACACACTGTGGAATCATCAGGTTATTCCGGATGAAGTTATTCATGCACTATTTTCAGCTTGTAAAAGCGGAAGTTTTGATTTAGCTGACAAAGAAGTGAATAATGTTATATCCGAAGGGTATCCAGCTTCTCAGATTCTCTCTCAGGTCACAATCCCACTTTTCTGCCTCGTTCCCCCACTTCATTATGTTATGTCTTCTGCTGGACATTGTTAGTCTAACACAATGTTTCTCGCAGCTATATGATTTAATTGTAGAAGTGGATGATATATCAGATGAACAAAAGGCAAGAATATGCAAGAAATTGGCAGAAGCCGATAAGGTAATTGGCATTTATCATTATTGACATCATTATTACATCACATCCCCACTCCATCCCCCCTACCCTGCACGCTGAATCCACCCCCGGCCCGGGCTAAACAGAGCACCGTAGGACCCACAAATAGTGTGGTGTATATATAGTGACAGACCCCCAACGCCGGTATGAAAAGAACCGCCCGTCCGTGCTTCTTTTAAAGGCCTGGTTCTTTTGATACCGGTGTTAGTGTATCTTTGGCACTGTGTTGGCAAGGTGAAACGAGTGTGAAACTCATGCAGGCCATCAAGGAATATGATAGTTTTCGACCGTTGTTGAGTCTGAAATAGTACTTACCACTCCCCCCCCACAGTTTCTTGTAGATGGGGCTGATGAATATTTACAGCTGTTGGACGTTGCAAGCAACACTATGCAAACACTCTGCAACATGCCACAAGAAATGATCTACTAGAGAGAGTACCATGACTACTAGGGTGAGTTTTGAGTTTTGTTTTATCTCAATTAGATGCTATAAATCACCACTTGGTCATGCTTCATTTCCTTGACTAAATTCGTTTGCAGAAATTGTACTCTGTGTGTGTGTACTTTCTTAATGACCAATGTGAACTATGAAGTGTTCTTGATTGGGCCTAACCGGCAAACTGAAACCAAAGCGATCAAAATTGTAATGAAGAAAATTTTGCTCTAACTATAGGTGGTTCGATTTGCAATTCATGCACTAAAAACTTGATGAAACATGCCAGAACTTGTAACACCCTGACCCCCCACCGAGAGAGAAGTGTCTGTTTATAGAATTATTGACTAGCCCCACAAATGAACACAAATTTTTTTCTCGCATTTTGTAAGAACGTATGCGCGTTTCTAAGTGATGGGCTCTCGAAAAGAAAATGCATCTTAATGGTATGAATAGTACTATGAATCCTTCTAAGTTTTTTTAATTCCATGTTAACACAAAGTATTGTACAAAACTAATCAAAGTTCACATAAACCAATCAAAGATAAGTGAACAAAAATTGACTTTAGCTATTTGGTTTTGCAGATACTCCCTTTGTGTATTGAAAAGATTTCATCTTGAAGAGTGTAAGCTGTACACCTTTCAAATTTTAGTAAGGCACACCTAGAAATCACTGAATATAATTAGATTTTTACACAAGTTTGAGAAATACTAACTCTATTTTGGGTCAATTTGACCAACTCTTTTTAACACGACCAATCTGACATGACCAATTTATGTCCGGATTGACTCCTTTTTTTCCTTTGTATAAGTTACTTTAAAACATTTTTTTAACCTTTAGATTTGACTTTTTTTACGCGCTATACTTTTAAGTTATACCTTTGCCCCTCGGTTGGCAATGTGTTCTAGAATTACTTTATTATGTAGATGTTAGTCTATGTTCATAAGTTGGTTAAAATTATTTTTAAATTGTTTATAACTTGGAAGTCAATCAATGACATGTTTTTCTGTGTATATAAACTAACCTATAAGTTATAGACAGTTTATAAGTCAAAAAATAAGTAGGTCTTACTTATTTTTAAGCATGTTTTTTCGAAACTTTATTTTGATCAGATTATTTATAAAATTATTTTTCACAATTTATGAATATTTCCAAATAATTTATGTATCATTTAAGTTATTTTACTTGCACGAAAGTTAAAAACTACATACCAGCAATACGCTATTAAATACCAATACAGAGAAACATCTCGTGTGTCAATATATTTTCCTGAATTTTTTTTAGAAATCAATCTAAATATATTAGGAATATATAGTATTGATGACGAACGAACATATGCTTTTCCAAAATCCATAATTACCATTTTTGTCTTAGATTGAGAAAAGAGGCAAAAAAAGCATGTTTACTTTTGTTGTGTCCGAATTCGAAAAATGAGTGATCTATTTTTCAGTTTTCTAACACACAAAAACAAAGAAATTATGAAAATCAGAAGAAAAAATGGGGGTTTTAATATTACAAAACTATTTTTACTATTTTTTAGTTCATGATGCAAGTAATAGCATAAAACTTTAAAAAGCATATAAACACTTTTAAAAGATACTCCGTGTGATTTTAAAAAAAGCTTGACATGCATATAGCACGTAGTGTCGAGTAATTCGAAACATACCAAAGAAACTTTGCTTAAATAAAATTTATTTATATTGTCGTAATAATTTCGAGTTTTGACATAGCGTTACTCACTAGCACTAAAATCTTTAATATTTTCCTTCATTTTGAAAAAAAAAGAGAAAAACCAAAGTTCACGTTTTCTTGTTACTCCGTCCATTTTTAAATTGGAAAATATTTTTTTAAGGAAAATAAATTGTACTTCCTCCGGGCTCGATTCCATAAAATTGTTTTAGGACGAAAAAAGATGCATCCTAAAAATATAATTTTTATACTATTTTCTATTTTTTTTTCTTTAGCTTATTATGAGGTAGAATATGATTTGCAGGATAGACGAGTCATAATTAAATAATTAATGCCAAAATTATCCATTGTTAAGGTGCACCCATAAATCTCTATTATATTTAATTTTTAGTCAGACTAAATTTTTGAATTTTAATTTTTATCTCAAGACTGTATTCTTCATAATTCAATTTGATAATGTTTGGAAATTAGCATTTCATTTCAATTGATGTATTTCAATTCTAAAATTTGAAATCTTGAATTTTCAAATTAAGCTTTGTTAAGAATGAGAGGAATTTGATTCAAATCCAAAATTTTTAAATTTCTCAAACATTGAATTTGAACTAAATCCAAATTTGAAATCCAAAAATACCCTTGATGTGGATACCCGGGTATATTTGAAATCCAAATTTGACACTCTCCCTCTCCCCCACAACACAAGAAGAGCCAAATTAGTTCAAATATACCCGGGTATCAATCAAAACTATATTTAGGAGTGGGGCTCACGAAGAAAGGAATATTTTTTGTGGAGTTTCCTTTTTCCGAGTTCCGACCATGGGGAAGTCGTTGCACTCCACCTTCCTTTAGCCCCCACCACCTAATTTGGCCAATAAAATAAATATTCCATTCGTCCCTAAATAAAGTTCCATTTTTGACTTTTTGAGAATTTAAGGGAGGGATATTTTTGTGTTGACTTTCCAAAAATACCCTTGATGTGATGTGTAAAAGTAAGATGTGATAGGTAGATTATTAGTAAAAAGGTATGATGTGATAGGTAGGGTATGAAAACGTAAGGGGTAAAAGAGGGTTTTGAAGGGAAAAGAGAAATTTATTTAGGGACAAAGAAAAAACAAAAGAAGAACTTTATTTAGGGACGGAGGGAGTATATTGCAGGGATAGATTAAATTAGGATGTAACACTAAAATTTGTATATCATTTTGTACCTCGGAAGTATGTACTGACATTTTGTGATAGTGTGATGATTTATATTAGCAAAAAATATTAGTGCAAATTTTTTAATTGAACTAACATTTTTTATCTATGTGAAGCGTTAAAATGTCGGTGCATTTCTTTGGGTTATAACTTGGGATCATAGTTAGTAATATACGGCTGACGTATAATACGTCAATACGTACGTTCGTGTATAATACGTTAGGATTTTATAAAATACGGTTTACTATGCATATTAAACGTTTAGCATACGGATACGGTTACGAACGGGTTCTAAACGTTTTCTATTTATAAAATACGTCTTATTATACGTTTATATGTATTATTACCATATATACGTCAAATTTACACATATTTATCGATTGATAGTCATCAATTTATATTAGGGTAAATAAAAAATACAAAAATCTTTTAAATGAAATATTTACAATAGATTTTTTCAAATTAGAATCTTTATTTATTTAAAATATTTATTTGAAAAAAAATATATACTCCCTTCATTAGGAAAAGTATCCTTATTTGACTTTCACCGTTTCAGGTACGTAGTTTAAAAAATGTTAAAAATAAAAACTTTATAGTTTGAATATATTTAGAAGAAAAATTAAGAGTTGTGAGTCACTCATTCCTTTCCAAAAAGAAAATAAATTTTTGAAACAGACAAAAAGGGAAAGAGTGAAATCTTTTTCTGAACTTGACAAAAAAGTATAAAATTTTTTGTAGATAGTATATATTTTTTCAAATTGATTAAGTATTGTACATATAACTGATATAAAGCATTACTTGTATTTTGTTTATATATTTTTGAAACAAATTAATTTCTTTTGTTGTACAAAAAAATTTATAGTGAAATATTCAATTCATACGTACTATACGTATAGTATCAAATATACATGTATTTTAAAATATTTTTGAAAATCATACGAATACGTGAGTATAATACGCGTATTATACGTACATAAGTAGAATACGTGTATTATACGCATATTAACTAACTAGGCTTGGGATACACTTTTGTTGTACCCCTAGCATGATTGATTAAATTAAACAAATTTTAAAGACCAAAAATATATTTCCTCCGATCCTAGAAACATGGGAGTAATTGATTTTTAAGAGATTTAAGAGAAGTGTATTTTGGTATTGAACTTCCAAAAAAGTCCTTTGTTGTGATGGGTAAAAGTAGAATTTGATGGGTATATTAGTAAAAAAGTATGATGTGATAAGTAAGACATGAAAAAATAATGAGTAAAAGTGATTTTTAATAAAAAATAAGAAGTGTTTTTTGGGACAAAGAAAGAAAAGTTTTGAGAGAAGCAGGGAGTATTTAATTGTTTTCGAAAAGCCCTACTAATATTATATTGCTTGGTCAAAAGTCGACCGAAAGTGAAGCGCAGCGTAAATAAGAAAGGGAGTGAGTTTATATACAGTTTTATGCAGACGCATTTTTCTTAAGTTAATTATTCCTAGAGAGAGAAGAGAGAGAGTCCTTACCGGAAATGGAAGCAGAAGATGGGCCGTTTAAGAAACAAGGATCCGTTCCATTCAAATGGGAGATCCGACCCGGTGAGCCCCGGAGCAAGAACGATCCGTCTTGCCCGGAACTTGACCGGAAGAAACCGTCGGTGACCAACCGGAGCCGCTCCGATTTATACACGCCTAAGATGCTCAGGCCTCCGCCCGCCGGCCGCCTTTACTACCAGCCTGCTCCTCCCGCCGAGCCGCGCGCCCGCTCTTTCAAATCCGCCCCGTGCCCTGCCCGGCAAGAGCGTTGCGGGTCGAGCACCGCCCGTGCCCGACCCGTAGCTGCGGTGTCCTCGGATGGGTGCCTCCCGTTCCCGTCGTTGCTGAGGTGCGCAACGGGCGGGAAGGAGAGAAGCACGACGAAGTCCCGACGACCGGAGTACTTCTCCGACGTCGAGACGCCGTCGAGACGCTCGGTTTCGAGTTTCAAGTCCCTATCACATTTCACCGAGTCGCCTGTGTCGTCGTATTTCTCGTCGAGCGGGTCCTCCCCGCCCCGCCCCTTGAACCGGTCCGAGTTCCCAGGGTTTCCTCCGTTAGTGGTGCCCGGAGGGCGTAGTTCAAGTGATCAATATGGTGTGCAATAGGACGCTCTGGCTTGGTCCTACTCCGGATGAAGACAGTGCATGCGTGATGTTTATATTTTGCATAAGGTCCTTCGATTTTTAGCGATCCTTCCTCTATTAGTTCGTTTAGACTAAACGTTTATTTCTCGTATAATTGTTCGGCCAGGTATGAGAGAACTCTAGTATTGGATTCCTCACGTTAAAATTCAATTCGCTTGATCACGTGATCGTTGGGTCAATTCAGAGGGGACCTTCGGAGATAGGGCGTATCTTTTTTTTAGGTAAGAAATGGAAAATGTCATTTTTCCTAGCTCCGACAATGACACTAACTTTATCATGAACTTTATTTTATGTTCGGGTGACACGAAATGAAAAATGATCGAGGTGACCATAAAGCAGGGATTTGGGAATAAGGTAGCATATATGGTTGGTAAGCCATTCTGTACAAGTGTATAGCTATGTTGTGGAGTTTGTTTAATTTTGGTAATTAAATGTCTCGTTTGTTTAATTTGACAATTTTACTATTTGACGACCATTCAACTCAGCCGTTAATTAATTATATATACTCTCTCCGTTCCATAAAGTTAGTCCCGTTTTAAATATTTGCGTTCTTTAAAATCTGATCCATTTCTATTAAAAAATCACTTTTATCCTTTACTTTTTCATATTCTACCTATCGCATCATACTTTTTTCTTAATAATCTAAACATCACATCCTACTTTTACCAAACAAATCAAGGTTATTTTTTAGAAAGTCAACACAAAAGTATTCCTACTTATTTTATCACTTTAGTCAAAATGTCACAATCTTTAAGGGACGGAGGGAGTATATTGTTATGTAAATAGGTTGTTAAAAAGTATATATATCTAGTGCGACAAGGTTCTATTGACACTGACATGTAGTGCTCCATTTGAAAAACTAATGATTCCTATCTCCTAACTCCTTCCCTGAACCTCCCACCGCAACCCCACCCCAGCTTGACCCTTGCACCCTACCCTAAACCTTCTTTCCTTCTGCTTCTTTCCCTTTTTTTAGGTGGTGGTGGGAGAATTGGAGGTTCAGTTTCATCATGAGGCCACATTTTCAACAGGGATGATGCTGCGTCAGAGGAGGGAGGAGAGAGAAGAAGTGAGTGATTTAAATGGGTGCGCCAAGTAGGCATACACGTAGGATAGGTAACTGGGTATTAACCTAGAAACTGGCTAAAATACCATGGGTGAAAGAAAGTGTTAAGTTGGAGTACTTTTTTGAAAGAAAATAAAGTTGGTGTACCGAAGTGAAATAAACTTCAATGTTGGTGTACCATACGTGAAATTTACCCCCCCAAATGTGTCGTAATTATGCAATCCATAATAGCCACACATTTAGATAGGGTAAAAGGGGGTTTAGGGCGGGAGTGTAGGGGGTCGACTGGGGTGGGGTTGCAATGGGTGAGAGGAAGCATCAATTTTTCTTTTTGAGCACCAGAGAAGTTTAAAATAAGCGAGTGTCATCCGTTTTAACGGAACCTTGCCGAGTCTAGTGACAAAGTTATGTTTTTTTGAAGCAATGAATAAGTAAAATTTTAAATACTAAGACTAGTAAGGTAGCAATCTATTTTTGTTATTTTAATTTCTCTCACCAGCATCTAATTAGTACAACTATTCAATGTCCACCGCTACCATTGTTCAATGACCAATGCTAGCACTCTTCAATGTCCGCCGCCAGCACTCTTCAATGTCCACCGCCAGCACCTTTCAATGTCTAGTACCACCTCTATTCAATGTCCACCGCTGCTCAATGTCCACCATCTCCATTGTTCAATGTGCACCCTCACTACTGTTCAATGTCCACCATCTCCACTTTCCAATGTCCACCGCCAGTGGACATTATATTATTCCTGATCAATGTCTATAATTAAGTACTTTTTAGATAATAAAAAGTTTTGGGTACTACTGTAACACCCTAATCTGTCCAGGTCTGCAACCCCTTTCGGACTAAAGTATAAACTTGGTATTTGTAAAAATTTAAAACATTTCGAACATTTAAAACTTTATTTCATAATAAATCATTCAAATAGTAACGAAGTAATTTAATGTTGCGGAAGCTTAATAAAACACAATACAAACATAATTAATTTATGTCCTTTCCAAACACTAATTAAAATCCACACATCCATTCCGACCATCTCGCTCCATCTGCCTCCAAGGAATCATTGGTTCATTCTTTTGGTTTACCTGCGTGTAGCAAATAAAACATACTACACGCTCAATGTCTAAGCTGAGTAAGCATATCTAATGCGTCGAACATCAATATAAATTGAAACGCAATTTATAATCAATTCATTTGATATCATGCACATAATGTTCAGTTCAGATATTCAATGATCAATATTTTAATTCAAATCATTTCATGATATAAACATTATTCAAGTCATTTCAATATTCAGCATTCAATATTTCAATGCTCATATTCAACATTTATCAACAATATCCTTAAACTATTCTTAGTCTAAGGCCAATTCAATTCTTAAGCTAATTCTAGTTTAAGTTATTCCTAACCATCCCTTAAGCTAGGCCTAGTTTAAGATACAGATTTTCAAAAAGGTTTTTAAGATCTTAAACTTATCTTTGCTTAAGGTCAACCAGAATCTGACAGCGTAGTGTTTACTGTTGAGTCGGGTGGTACCCCAAACGAGTAGGTACTCAAGTTTGGTTCTTGGATCCCGTACGTACGTTTTAACCATGGCCACCAGGCATCATACCCGCAATGCCTAACTTAAATGAGTATATTGTAGAGGTCTTCTAGATACCTTTCAAAATCAACATTATTATGGTTATATCTTAGAGTTATTCTAGATACCCTTAACAATACATATTATTTTCACAATTAATATATTCATTATGATTTAATTATTCATAATTATCATTTCTAATCAGAATATTCATCACGGTTTAATCATCATAATTATCAATCAATAATCATCAGCATAATCATCAATTAGTAATAATCAACATAATACTCATTAAGAATTAGCGCCCTAACTTCGAGTGTCAATACCCTAGCTTACCGCCATGTATCACATAAGATTTTATTTGTCAAAATATCATTTTTATTATGAAAAATTATTTTTATGATGATCATAATCAATTGGTATAAAAAATAAGATTTTAGAGTTCAAAATGATATTTTCAGGAATATTTTTGGGACTGATCGAGGAAAATTGATTATTCAAGATTTAAAAATCGACTAATCATAAAAATCGATTTCTTCCCTTATGAATAATCGATTTAATAATAAAAATTGATTTCTTCCTTTATGAATTATCGATTTTTCTTGATAATCTATTATTCAAGACGCGAAAAATCGATTAACTGATACTGACTTCAAACACCTCGGCCACTACTCATCATCTTCTTCCTCTGGTCCGTTTTCAACATTATCATTTTTAATCACCAAACTTTAATTAGATTATATAGAAATGTTCTCTAAGGTTCATAGATCATTTTGATATCATTAATTCATAATTTTAACAATAATTTCATGGTTTATGATTCTTGGTTCTTCAAACATGTCCAACACAAAATTCAACCAAAAGAACGTTTATGAACGTAGAAACGATCTATATGAACATTCTAGTCACTAGATATATCTACGGGCTTACCTCAAAGCTTAATGGAGGTTTTGGAAATTTTCCGTCAAAACTTTCGGCGATGGTAGCTCTCAACTCTGACGACCTCACACCCATATGACAGCACCACTACGTTCTCCTCACTCCCAGCAACATAATAGATATAAGGACTGTGAGAAATGGTGGAGAATTGAGGGGATGAAGGTGGTCCTTATATAGGGAAGGAATGGAGGAAGAGACCAATGTTGATGATGAACGTTTCCCTGTTTCGGTGGCTGAGTGGAGCGGGTTGCTGTCCTTCTTCGATTCTAAACGTAAGTCCCTGATCAGGACTAAATTGGTCCCATTTGGGGTACACTTTTTGGTCCAACTTTATCCGAATTGAAATCCGATTGAACTGTTGGGATCAGACAGTTAAACTCTACATAATGATATAATTTTCATTATTTATTGACAACTGTATAAATCACTTATTTTTGGGTCCTTCTCATAATTAATTAATTCTGATAGGCCTATTTTCGAGGTGTTACAACTACACTGAGAAAAACTTATTTTCAATTTTATTTAATACAAATTTTACTTTTTTCAACATATGTGCTAATCTTTTTGAATCCATTGAATTTGCAAAAGAACATCATTTCTGAATTTAAACAAACAAGTGGAAAACATTCTTTTTGAAAACCCAAATTAAGAATAAATAAAGAATTTTTTTATAATGTGAACTTTGAAATGATTTATTGAAATAAATCATGGGAATAAATAATATAAATTAAATATGATAACCTTTTAGAATAAAGATCAATTAAAAAATTTTTGACTATGTCAAAGTCAAACCCCCCAAAAAATATGATGCCGGAAAAAGTATTACAAATAAATATAAAAATTATTTCGTGTTGTTCACCATTTTTCCTCCATTAAAGAGCTATGAGTATAGAGAGCAAAGTAGTGTTGTTCAAAGAGCTTGCACTCGCCGGAGCAAGCCATGGTAGTTGCCAGAAGATATATCTAGTGATTATGATGTTGTATAGATCGTTTCTACGTTCATAAACAGTAGTTTGGTTGAGTTTAGTGTTTCACAGGTTTGAAGAACCAAGAATCATACACATTGAATTTGTTGTTAAAACTTCGAATTAGTGATGCCAAAATGATGTATGACCCTTGGAGAATATATTTCTATATAGTTTAATTGAATTCTAGTGACTAAAAATGGTATTTTTGAAAATTGGCCCAAGGTTGAAGATGACACTGTTAAAAATTAACGCACAGAACGGTATCACGCTACCACCCGGATGGTACCTTGGTACCACCGATACGGTAGCCACCTACCGTGGCAATGGTAGTCTCATACCATCGACTACTTCCTTGACAGTGGATGGCTGGTGGCAGTCGGTGCCAAGGTACCGTGACACGGTACCGAGGTACCGTACCAGGTACCCTTTAGAACTCGATATTTTCCCCAAAACCTGATTTTTGAACTATTAAATCATTTTTTTTTATACCAATCAATTATGATTGATCAATATAAAAGTAATTTCTGCAAATAAAAATAATATTTTGATCATCCAAGAGCCTTATGTGATGTATGACGCTAAGCTAGGGTGTTATCGCTCGACGCTAGGCCGTTATTTGCTATTGGATATTATGATAAATATTATTGATTGATGATTATGATGAGTAATCCTTGATGAATATTTTGAGTGGAATGATAATTATGAATGATCAAACCATGATTTAAAAATGAATAGATTGATGAGAAAGAAAATAATGTGTATTGTTAAAGCTATCTAGAAGACCTCTAAGAGAAACTTCATATTAGAATGGACTTGTGTGTGTAAATATGTATAATCGGTGATTGGATAAAAATGTACGAATGAGATTCATAGACCAAACTAGAGGATCACTCGTTTTGGAATACCCCCGACCCGATGATGATTAGTTGTTGTTCTGTTGTTGCCTTAAGTTGACTGCAGTTTAAGAGTCTGGGAACATTTGCATTAAACCAATTGCAGTTTAAGAGTCTGGTTATCAATTGCCTTAAACTAACCACACTTTAAGAGTCTGGTTATTCAAATAAAATAGACTTTAACTAATCATAGTTTAAGAATCTGGTTAACAGTATGAAATAACCTTAAACTATCCGAAGTTTAAGAGTCTGGTAATGGAAATATGATTTGGCCTTAGACTAAGAATAGTTTAAGAATGTTGTTATGCTCTGACCTTAGACTAGGAATAGCTAAGAGCGTTGTTATTATTAGCCTTAGATTAAGAATAATTTAAGAGTACTGCCGAAATAATAGGTATTGAATATTTGAATTGAACAACATATGTTGACATCATGAATGATGAATAGTTGGATTGATCATTATGTGCATGATATCAAATGATTTGATTATGAATTGAGACTCAATTTATATGTTCGATGCATTAGATATCTTTACTCAGCTTCAACACTGAACGTATATAGTATATTTTATTTGTTACATGCAGGTAAATAGAAAGAATGATGTGACGTGATCCTGGAGGCAGAGGGGGGCGAGATGATCGGGATGGATGTGATGATTTTGAATTGAAGGACTTAAATTAATTATGTTTTGTGATTATGATTTGTTAAGCTTCCGCAACATTGAAAA